GAGTGAGCTCCCGTCTCTAGTTCCAGCTCCTGCCAACCTAGCAGTTCGAAAGCAAGAAATTGCAAGTAGATAAATAGGTATCACTTCGGTGGGAAGGCAATAGCGTTCCGTGTGCCTTGGTGTTTAGTCATGCCGGCCACATGACCACGGAAACATCTTCGGACAGCACTGGCTCTTCGGCTTGGAAACGGAGATGAGCACCGCAACCCTAGAGTCGGATTCGACTGGCTTTCGAGCAAGGGAGACCTTTACGTTCAGTATGAGATGTAGATAGAATTCTGATTGTTCTATTTTTTTAAATGTTTTGTTGGTTTTATGTATCTAGGTACTTTGTACTGCTTCTGTGAGCGGCCCTGAGCCTGTTCGCAGGATGGGCGGGGTGTAAATATAATAAATAAAGAAACAAAACACACAGTCTGTGGATGCTGATCGAGGCCAAATAAAGACCCTGGATGAAGAATAAAGTTCTGGATAAGAGACCCAAATTGACCCACCAAGAACACAAGGGCTGCGGCAGCACCCGGCAGTTTCGAAACACACAAGTGCGTGAAGCCGCCTGATCCTGAATGAGACCCTTGGTCTGTTAAAGTCACCCATGTCTCCTCAAACCGGCAGCCGCTCTCCAGGGTGTCTCAGGCGGAAGAGGGTTTTCCTGTCGCCTCCCGCCTGGCCCTTTTCTGACTGGAGATGCTGCCCAGACCCTTGGTGTTAAAGTCACCCGTGTCTCCTCAGACCGGTAGCGGCTCTCCAGGGTGTCTCAGGCAGAAGAGGGTTTTCCCGTCGCCTCCCACCTGGCCCTTTTCTGACTGGAGATGCTGCCGGGGATTGAACCTGAGACCTTCGGCCTGCCAAGCAGATGCTCTGCCACAGAGCCACGGCCCCTCCCCCACGTCCTGTCTTACAAACGTCACGACATTCCAGCTGTTTTGGCAGTCTGATGGGGAACACGACTCAAGGCTCCAAAGAGGGGAATTGCATAAGTTGGAAAATTTATATCCTACCCATCCATCGCAAAACTGATAAGCCCCAGATAAGGTGGGATGAAGTCAAGGGAATTGCTTTGTCCATTCCCGGGCCCATGTTATTAATGCTTTAATTGTTGTATCTTCAATGGTCGCCAAACTGATAAGCCCCAGATAAGGCGGCACAAAGTCAAGGGAATTGCTTTGTCCATTCCTGGGTCCATGTCATTAATGCTTTAATTGTTGTATCTTCAATGATGTATGTCGCCCAGAGCCCTGCATTGCAGGGTTTGGGCGAGTAACACATTTAAGATATAAATAAATAAACCAATGACACTCCGCCCCCGACCAAGTCCCTTGAGTGCTCGGTCAACACTCCAGAGACAGAGAATTGTGCCATTAACGCAAAACCCTTCCAGACCTTCGAGCCAGATCCTTGGCAGTGACTCCCATTTCACTGGAGGGACTTCACCGAAGCTGTTTGGGCCAGCCGTTTCTCCAAGTGGCAATTACACAACCTATTATCGTAAATCAATCCTAGGTGTTACTAAAGCGGGGAAGACTGTGACATCACATCTTTCCAGGAAGAGGCTGTAGCCAGTCCACCAACTAAACTAACGGAAAGCACCCACAGGCTACCACTGCGCCCAGAACATACACCAAGTTCCCTTCTAAGGCCAGTGGTCCATCAAGGTCAATATAGTCTACTCAGTGGCTCTCCAGGGTCTCAGGCAGAGAAAGGTCTTTCCCATCTCCTACTGCTTGGCCCTTTTAACTGGAGAGATGCCGGGGCTTGAACCTGAGACCTTCTGCATGGGTCAGTGAGGAGCCCCATGCTGCGATCCTGCCCTTTAAGAGAGACTGCAACTCCATCCAGGACAGATCCTGACTAGGGATGTGCATTCGGTTAGTTCCAAAGTAACTTTTTCCCCCACCATAGAGAACAATGGAGGGGATAGGGGCAACCTGTTTGAGGGCCCGTAGAATTGGACCCCCTGGTCCAATGCTCTTGAAACATGGTTGGTATCTTGGGGAGAGGCTCCAGCAGCTACCCTGAGAGTTTGGAGTCTCTCCCTCAAGCCCCCTCCCCTCCAGCCCCCAGAATATACCCTATGTTTCCGCCATTGACTTCAATGGCCCATAGGATATAATGGGACTGAAATTGACATTCCAAAGACTCCCAGATCTGTTACTGAGGAAACTGACATGCGGGAGTCTTACTGCCAGCTGTAATTGATTCTGCCCCATTCGACTGAATCCGAATGGACCAAATTTAATTTTTTTTTTTGCACACCCCTAATCCTGACCTTTGTGGTCAATCAAATCTGGTTCGACTGTCTGCAAAAACGGCTTCTGTCACTACTGGACCTCAGTCTGACTCTCAAAAGTCACCTGCCTGTAGCCCAGCCGTGACACTTGCCCCTGCTGCCGCTGCCAAATACAATTAAACTCAAACTCAGCGCAGAACCTGTCTGCCGTCTGAGTCCGCCTGCAGAAAACGTCCCAGAGAAGACCGTGTTTTGTTCTCACACTAATGCAATAATTCAGTATACGGCAGGAAGGAGCCGCCCCTGCCTCTCTGCCTTTGGCACAAGACTCACCAAAAATTACAGTACTGGGTGCTGAATAATCCCCTTCCTGTTAAGCACGCTCTGCTAAAGACGGATGCAAAGCAATATGGCTAAGAGGTCATCCTTGTGCCAGATTATATCGACACGCCTCATTTGCATCCGTTTCTTCCACATGATTCGGGGATTCTGTTTGCGGCATATGGATGGTTTTCCCAACAAGTCCTGCCCTTCGGGGACCCAGGAAACAGGCACGGCGGGTGGGTGGTGTGTGTGTGTCGGGGGTTTACACTGGCAAGAACATGGGAGGAATCCCCCAGGAGGTCTACTCGGGACTTACCGAAGAGTCTAAAGACAAAAGGTCCTTTCCTAGCCACACCTGTGGGGGGGGGGGAAACAGCCCCTGGCCAATTCCCACCCACCCTCTGGGCCCCTCACGTACCTAAAGCCCCAAAGACAACCAAGTGATTCTCCCGGGGATTGATGTGCCGGTCGTAGGGCCGGTTGCCGTACATGTGGGCAGCGCTGTTGACCAGCCAGGTGGCGTTCAGGATAACGGTGTAGCGGAAGACGGCGGCCACTAAGAAGCTGTTCCAGAAGTTTTCTCCCCAGAAGTACCAAGGCACAAAGGAAGGGAACAGGAAGCACAGCAGCACCACCGAGGTCTTGTAGTACCTGCCAAGGAGAAGAGGACGGGCTGCCATTAGTGTTCCCTCTCAGCTGAGTTCGTGCGAGCCAGCTCACAATTCTTTCGCCTCCGGCTCACACATTTTTGTCCTAGCTCAGGAAGGACGGGGCTCCCGAGCAAACTAATTCACGCAGCAGCCGAATCGCTGGCTCACAACTTTAATGCCAGCAGCTCACAGAGTAGACGTTTTTGCTCACAAGACTCCACAGCTTAGAGGGAGCATCGGTTGCCAGTGCTCCCTCTAAGCTGAGTCAGTGTGAGCTAGCTCACAGTTTTTTAGCCTCCAGCTCACACATTTTTGCCTTAGCTCAGGATGGCTCCAGAGCAAGCTAACTTATGCAGCAGCCTATTGCTCACTCACAACTTTAATGCCGGCAGCTCACAAAGTAGACGTTTTGCTCACAAGACTCCACAGCTTAGGGGGAGCATTGGTTGCCATGTACTGTAGTATGTTTGGAGGGCAGGGATCACAGTGGAATTCTCAGACTTCAAACTCTGAACGACTTCAGCCCACAATAACTATTTGTGTTAAATGTGCAAGGCGCGCCTCCCAAACCACAGGTGCCAAAAATCCAGACTACGATTTTGGAGTCTTTAGAACGGGAATCGGCAGATCTTGAATTGAACTGTGAAGACTTAGAAGATTTGGAGCGCAGGGGAAGCAGCCTGCATTCCTCGTCATCTCCCCCCCTGCCCCCCCTCCCACGCACCCCTTTGCTCACCTCCTCTGGAACATCACAACTTTGTCCGCCTTCAAGTCAGAGAGGTCCAATTTCTTGCCCTTCTCGATGACGTCCGGGTGTTTGCGCACCAGCAGCCAGCCGACGTGGGAGAAGAAGAAGCCCCGGGTTGCGTTGTGGGGATCGGCATCCGTTTCGGAGAACTTGTGGTGGACGCGGTGGTCCCTGGCCCACTCGAAAATGTCATTCTACAGGAAGCACAGCCGCAGGGCCAAACGTATTAAATTGCATTTTGTGTAGCACAAGCTGACTTCCTCCAACAAGTAACCTTTCATTCGAGTTCCCTCCAGGTTTTTTTCCACCAGCTACCCTCAAAACATCCTTGTCCCGAATCCTTGATGTAAGCCAAATCATTCCCAGTTTACAGAGGGAGAGCTGAGGATGACAAGGCCTTGGAGAGTGACAAGGCGAGGCCAGTCCAGGGACTCCGGCGGTAAGCCAGGACTCACACCCTGGTCCACATGCTAACCAGCCAGCCACGTTGGCGGTTAGCCACTTTTGGGCAAACCATTCCCTGCTGCATTCTTTCAGTGAAACCGTTTATCATTTTTGGAAGACCGTTTCAGTGGAGGGCAGTTAAAATGATGGAGGGCAGGCCGACCGGGCCCCCACGTAAACACGGAGAGTACAGAGTACTGCACCCTACCAGCTTCTCTGGGCTTTGCCCACCTCACTCCAGCCGCTGCCCCGTGTGTCCTTGGACAACATCAGCCCCGCAATCCCCAGACAAAAGAAAAAGAAGAGAGAAGAGATTGGATTGATACCCCGCCCTTCACTACCCGAAGGTGTCTCAGAGCGGCTTACAAACTCCTCTCCCTTCCCCTCCCCACAACAGACACCCTGTGAGGGAGGTGGGGCTGAGAGAGCTCTTGACAGAAACAGCTCTTTTCAAGGACAGCTCTCATCAGAACTACGGCTTGCCCATGGCCATCCAGCCAGGTGCAAGTGAAGGAGGAGTGGGGAATCAAACCCGGTTCTCCCAGATGAGAGTCCGCGCACTTAACCACTACACGAAACTGGGTCTCAGAGTGGCTTACAATTGTCTTCCCCTCTCCACAACAGACACCCTGTGAGAGCTCTGACAGAAACGGCTCTTTTTCAAGAACAGCTCTCGTCAGAGCTATGGCTTGCCCAAGGCGGTCCAGCCAGGAGCAAGTGGAGGAGTGGGGAATCGAACCCGGTGCTCCCAGATTAGAGTCCGCGCTCTTCACCACTCCACCAAACTGGGGGGGCCCTCCCCCTCTTTTGACAGGCAGCCTCGCCCGACTGCCTGGAACTTGGACAGACTGCCCTCCTTCGTTACGCCGTTCCTACCTGAAAAGCCATGGAGTTGGCAATGGCCAAGATGATCCGGAGAGGCAAGGTTGCTTTGTAAGACCGGTGGCTCCAAAGGCGATGTGCCCCGGCTGTGACGCCCAAACCACTTATGAGGAAGCACACAAATGCTGCAATGGGTAGAGAGAGAACCAAAAGGAAGTCACACCTGTGCTTCGCCATCATCCAGCCGGAAGATCCCCATTATAAGAGCCAACCTTCCACCAAGAAACACACACGCACACACACCCTTGCATCTCCGCACTGGTTTCCAGAACACCATGCATGGTAAAAAGGATAGCGATTTTGGTTGTGGGAGAGTCTGGGACTGCCGTGAAAGGAAATGCCCAGATTCCATTCTTTGTTTCTCATTCCCTTTAATATTTTCGTAACTGTGCAGTCCTGGCGAAGTGAGTCTTCTAAGTCCATTGTAGTCAACGGGCTAAGAACCAGTGTTCCCTCTAAGCTGAGTTAGTGTGAGCTAGCTCAGTTTTTTAGCCTCCGGCTGACACATTTTGGTCTTAGCTCAGGAAGGAGGGCTCCAGAGCAGACTAATTTATGCTCGCTCGCAACTTTTAACGCCAGTCGCTCACAAAGTAAAATTTTTCCTCACAAGACTCCACATCTTAGAGGAAGCACTGCAGTACTGTAAATTTCTCTTTGGCAGAAAGCTACTCTTTGTCAAAACAAAGGGGCAAGACAGAGTAAAAACAAACGTTCAGGTAGAAAAGCAGACTGGGTCTCTGGCCCCACCGCCTAACGTCAAGCGGTTTTTCTGACGAAAACATGTGACGAAAGCTGTAAATAGGTTAGTTTGGTCAAACGTACAAAAAATTTTAAATTGAATTACCTGTTTGTTCAAAAAAAGAAGAGGGATTCAAATGCCCTGTCCCCAAAGAACATTAAAATCACCAATTTATTTAGTCCTGGCCAAGAAGAACCAGAGAGGTTCAAACCTTGAGCATAATTATCTTTAGCCAAGTAACTGCTTAAGACTTTTATTCAAGAAAAATCTCCTGCCTTTTCCAGCCCCTGCGCTGCTAATTAAAAACGCTTCGTGTTCTAGGGATGTTTATCACCTTAGCCTGCCAAGCACCGTTCCCAGAAGTACCTGCTCGACACAAGATCCTTCCCTACAAGGTTATTCAAATATTCTTAATGGTTGCCAGGATTTATTGTAGTTGCAGCCACCTCGGAGGTAAGCCCATTCCAGGCCTCGTGCGCCCATGACGGCCATCACTAAAGCCCCAGGTCTTGAGGCAAGACTGGCTGAGAGGTGGGTCTAGGCCGGAGGCCAAACTCCTTGGAGTCAAACCCTTGGCATTCTGCACCTTCGTCCCACAGAGGACTGCTTGGAGGCAAAGCAAAAGGAGAGGATTTTTTAACGGCTCGAATGGGGACCCAGGTGGGTCGTCCAGTTACCCTGGAGAGGCGCCTCGTAGAGGCCCCAATACACTTTACAATCCGTTTAACAGCCTACAAGAGAGAGCCCGTTTCCATGTTCTGCCGGCAACAATTAATCTCTCCCAAAGCCCCTCGAGAGCAAAGCTGAACGTTATTGCTGAGAGGAGTGAAATCCCACTGAGCTGAACAAAAGAGCAAAGGACAGAGCAAAACAATTAGACAATTCTGGAGAGAGACAAGAGAGGAAATCCTGTGCTCACCCCACAACAAGGTGGCGAACTTTGCAGAGGGAAGGACGCAGAGGGAGTAGAGGGAAACTACGTGGAGTAGAGCCATGAGGATGATGTTCCTCCAGACGTAGACCTTGGCAGGCTTGGGGCCGCTCTTCTCTCGGTAGGTCTCATCGAAAACGTCATCTGTCATGCCCCTCCCGGCCCCCACGTCTTCTTCATGCGCGGGGATTTCTTTCTCCACAGTGGCTGCCCCATTCTGGGCCATGGGAGCGAAGATCGTGGAGTAACCTGGAGGGAACTGGAAAGAAAAGAAACCAAGCCGCGTCAGAGCACCAAAGAGGACCGAGAATCAGTTGCGGCTGGCTGGCTGTCCACTCGGGCCTGGCACAGCGGAGCACTTCAAATCATCTCTTGGGGGGGGGGGACCTCAGTAAAGACCATCAGGAGAAAAGTAGCAGGGCAAAGAGGGTAAGGTGCCCAGAAGTCGCGACTGAGGAACCTGACGGAGGGACGGGAGCTCAAAACTGAGACGTAGGCCAGCCCCGGTGGGACGTGCCACATCAAGGCAGCGAGTCACTTAATGAAAGCTGCAGACGGAGCTTAATGGCCATGCGAAACAACTCTGCACTTTATTTATTCCTCCCCTGCTTTTCTCCCCGAGGGGAGACCTCGAACAGCTCACAATATTGCTGCACTTCCGTGGTTACTTCCTGCTTGGGGCAAGTTAGCCGAGGCCCGTCACCTCATTGAAGAAGCCTCTGCATTAGTCATTATCCTGGACTAATTAATCCACAACGCTGTTCTTTTGCATGCGGTAGAATCAGCAGCAGGGCCACTGAGAGAGTAGAATTTGTGCGTGTGTGTGTGTGGGGGGGGGGTTTCAGAGAGACTTCCGAGCGGCCTAGAAGATGAGCAAGTGGTGCTGGGAGAGGAGAGCTGTAAGAAAGACTCTGTGTTCTCCCAGTTTGGTGTTGTGCTTAGGAGCGCGGACGCTAATCTGGGAGAACCGGGTTTGATTTCTTACGCCTCCATGTGCAGCTGCTGGTGTGACCTTGGGTCAGTCACAAGTTCTCTCAAGAGCAGTTTCTGTCAGGGCTCTCTCAGCCCCCCACCTACCCCACAGGGTGTCATAAGAACATAAGAGATGCCAATGTTGGCCCATCCAGTCCAACACTCTGTATCACACAGTGGCCAAAAATACCAGGTGCCATCCGGAGGTCCACCAGTGGGGCCAGGACATTAGAAGCCCTCCCACTGTTGACCCCCACAAGCACCAAGCTGTCTGTTGTGGGAAAGGAGACTGGAAGCTGCTCTGAGACGCCAGTGAAGGGCAGGGTATAAATCCAAACTCTTCTTCTTCCACGGATTCATCACACAAAGGTGGCCAAAAACTAACCAGGCCATAAAGGGGCTAGGGCCACGGGTGCGGCTCTTTTACACAGACTCATTTAATGTTAATAAAAAGCAAATCTGCATATTTTTCAATTAAAATATGTTTGTGATACATCTTGGGGATCTAAAACATCTGACGTTTATTCTGTGTGGCTGTTGTTACGTTAAGCAAGTTTGGCCAGCCCGGGGCTAGGCACATTTGAGCCCCATCTCGCCGGGGCAGTCCTGACTCGCAGTGTTCCCTCTAAGCTGAGTCAGTGTGAGCTAGCTCACAGTTTTTTAGCCTCCGGCTCACACATTTTTGTCTTAGCTCAGGAAGGATGGGGCTCCAGAGCAAACTGATTTATGCATTAGCCAGATCGCTTGCTCACGACTTTAATGCCATTAGCTCACAAAGTAGAATTTCTGCTCACAAGACTCTACAGCTTAGAGGGAGCATTGGTTCTGAGTTCCAGTCCCCTAACTCCCGCCGATTTAAGGGGACTTACAAGGGTGTGTTTCCATTTGGGACCGGACTGTAACCACCATCACACACACACACCCCATGCAACACACTGCCCCCTAGAGGCCAGCGGCCACGTCCAACAAAGCGCCAAAGATGCATCTGACGAAGAGAGCGGTGTTTCCCGAAAGCTTACGCTGCGATAACGTTTGTTAAGTCTGAAAGGCGCTGCCGGACTCTTTTTTTTCCCCCATTGCGCAGCAACAGACCAACACGGCTACCTCTTCAGGATCGACGGCGAAAGACAGCACTTATCCTGCCCGTCGGAGAAGGCCAAGTGGCACAAAACCTGGGCCACGCAGGAGGTCCCCGGCAGAAGTGCAGCGCCACTCGTGCCCACGCGCTGCCCCCCCCCCTTAATGGGCTGGGGCGTTGAAAGGGGTCCGCCTGCGTGGCACCTGCGGGCACCCAGCCCCCTCTGCCCGCTGCAGGCCCAGGATGCCGCCGTCAAGCGTGGGGAGAGAGAAGGGTGGGGGGGGGGCACCCGGCTTACCCCCTTCACCCCCCCCCCCCAAGGCCGTCTCATCAGCCTTCCCTCCCTCCCTCCCTCCCTCGCCGCAGTTGGGGCCTCGAGCAGCGTTCCCTCTAAGCTGAGTCGGTGTGAGCCAGCTCACAGTTTTGTAGCCTCCAGCTCACACATTTTTGCCTTAGCTCAGGAAGGAGGTGGCTCCAGAGCAGACTAATTGATGCAGTAGCCAAATCACCTGCTCACACCTTTAATGCCAGCAGCTCACAAAGTAGAATTTTTGCTCACAAGACTCCACAGCTTAGAGGGAACATTGAGAGCGGCCCCCTCCGCCGCCGCGCACATGGAGCTCCTCCTCGGGCTCGTGACGGCGGCCAAGCGGCACCCGGCGC